AAGCGTTGCTCGTTAGTAAGTCTATTCATGATGAAATGTCAAAGCATACTGAGCATCTTTCTCTTTGACACCACGTCTGAAATCCCACGTGATCTGTCAAATACTAATGCATGAAAATCCTAACCTCAAAAAAATCACCCGTTATATCATTTAGATCGCGTCACTCCAGCGGCCTCAATGACCGAGTGGGAAAACAAATCGGGAAATCCAAGTTCGAGTCCTGGCGTAGTAAAAATTTTTAAATTATTATTTTTTAATCTATTTTTTTCTTTTTTGACTTAACTCTTCATTTTGTTATTTTAATAAAGGAAATACATATTTTTTAATTCAAATTTCAAAGAAAAGTGTGGAGTTTCTAATATAAAACTCGAAACCTATCTAAAAATTTTGAACGGAATCGTAATAATGAGGTTTTTGTTGTTGTTTTTTAACTTTTTTCAAATAGTGGAATAAGAAAAACTTGAATAACTGAATCTAAACTCTTCCGTTTAGACTTGTCAGGTATCATTGGAAAGGTATTTTTTTACCCTTTTTATTTCTTTGCTAATAAACTTATTTAAAGGACAAAAGAGAAAGGTAGGATGAACGAACGTCATTCAAATTTGAATTAAGATGTGTTGGTATTTGAAAAACAAAAATATTGGGCACGAATGACTTTTTTCCCACAGAAAAAAGGGTGGGAAAATACTTTTCTACTGAGACTCATAAGTCAGAATAGTTTTAGCCGAGTTATTCAAGTTTTTTCGTAAATCAATCTTTGAAAAAAGTAAAAACAAACAGCATCAAAAATCTTATTATTACGATTCCGTTGAAAAGATTTAAAACTATTTTTATGCAGATTTTCTAATCTTAATCTGTTCTGTCATCTGAGAAGACTTTTTTCAGAAATGTCTTTAATTCTTATTCATAAAAAACTCCATTTTTGGGGGTATTTTCAAATCGGTCCAGCTCACGTAAATCTTAAAATTTTTTCGAAATATTTTGGTGGACGTCTTAAAATATAATATATTTTTGTAATACCGGCGGGAAAACCGCACCTTTTTTTGGTGATGCAGTGTAATATACGTGGGTATCACAATATCAGACGCAAGAGATTTGTTTATTTCTTAACTATATTTGGGAGGGTTGCCAGCTGTTTCAGAAGTCTTAGCTAAATTATGCACAAATCCGAAGACGAACATAATGTGAAGACGAGCACGAACACGAAGAAGAATACTAATACGGGGACCTAGGCTAATATAAAAGGTAATAAAATTTAACCTGAATGTGATCTTAATAACATCATGTATTCTACGTTTAAGTTTAGCGGCTGTGGCTCCGTCACAGCCCGCAGGTCGGTAATTTTTGTATTTAAAAAAAAGAACTTATTACTAAAAGTCGAACAGAATAACGCAAAGATCTCCTCGTTACCAGATCTTTCAATTAGTCTTTCGAAATACAGTAAACAGTTTTCAAGATAGTTGCCAGAATTTACAATTGTTCTGGTATTTTGATGCCCTGCTAAAGCTATAGCAACCATTTAAGTAGAGAATGCTTATACTACGTATTCTTCAGTCCACATCGAAGCCTCCTCCAGAAACTAAGTAAACGTTTCGCTCAGCACTGACCCTTGAGGGACTGCATGGCGCAAAACTCATGTTCCCCTCAATCTCAGGAGGTCAAGCTAGGTATTTGCTTTCAACAAACAGATGGCGGACTTCAGACCACTTTCAGGATTGCTGTCTGTTGACTCCTTGAGGCACAATCACTTGACTGTTGTCGGAATGCTTGACCACCCTGCCTGGTCTATTGACCATAAGTTAATGAGCTGGGGTGGCTAAGAAAAATTAAATAATCTATTACTAAAGTTTTTAAAACCCGAAACTCGCATTAATTTTTCATATTACATCCAGTAAACTGCCGTAGACAGAGGGAGAACAGTGTTTTCAACGAAATTCCTGGAAACCTGTGTACCAATACTTGAAATCTGCCGTAAGTGGCCACTCGCATTGGTAATTTATTTATGTGCATTATCAACTCTAATACAAAAATTATAGCAACCAACCTTCAGTAAAAAAAAAAACTCACTCAAAGTCAAATGTCTTTAAAGCCTATTAAAGGGGTATCAAATATTTTAATTTTTCATTACTAATTTTTAACAAAAATTAAGAAAAAATTCCTCCCATCAATTTCGTATAATCAAATAAAAGCAAAAGCAATTTGAAATGGAGTTGGATCAAAAGCAATCCTGTGATGGTTTCACCATGGACACAACTTCAAGCTCCAATATTAATTTTCCTTGTGGCCGTTTCATGGGCAAAGTAGAGAAACCGGGCAAAACAGACAAATCAGATGAGGCAGAGAATCCATGTGCGCCTATATTTTCCACCTCCACCTCTTCCTCATCGTCCAATACTTTGTTGAGCCAATATTTCGACGCTGAGTGCCAGAAGCACGATCACACACGCAAAGAACCGCCCAACATTGGCTACGAGTTGAATGTGGCTAAAGCTATTATGCAAAAATATAGCAGTATCAGCGGCGATAACTTGTGGGCTAAATATAAATAATGTGAACACATCTTTCGTAGATCATTTTAATTAATATGCCCCCTTTTGTAGATTTGATCACTTATCAGACATTATCAAGCGAGTCATCGATGAGCGACCACCAAATGTAATTGATTTCTTCGAAGAATTCAGTCGTAATGTACGCGAACAGAAGCTACATCTGCCAGAACGATTTCCACCAGATGGAGTTTTCGAAGAGTGTCGCCTCTATCGTGTGGCCAAAAAGATGCTTTTATCTATGAAGGTATGCTAACAGAAGAATACTAAGTCTTTGATGCAACTTGAAAGCAAAAAATGGAACTTATGGAGTTAACCTGAAAGTTTTGTTGATATAAAAACATAAAATGTTCGTCCTCAATACGTCCCTACGTTTTGTTTCATTAGAAACTAGAGTACTGGTTAAATGAATTAGTTGTAGAGGTTTACTAAGGACGTTCTCGTTTCTTCCTACAAATTTTATCTTTTCATTGCGATTTTCTTAGTATCTCTGCTAAGAGTTCAATGACAAGGTAATTTTTATTTTTTAATATTTAGGTTACTACTTACTTAGGTTACGTGGTTGGTAACATTTTTCGGTAGAAACAAAAACGCTTTAGCTAATACTCAATGCCATCTGCATTCTTACAGTTACCCGTATACGATTCGAACGAGCTGCCATTGGCTGCGGAGGCAATTCCTTCAGAGGAGTCCAAATCGGCAATTTTGGGAAGTTTGAAACTTGATATTTTGGACATGAGCCGTTTCGTAACATTCAACGAGCGTGTACAACACTTGCAATTCTTTTGGAATCAATGCGGCTTCGGCATCAATCCAGATGACATATTTCAACTCGCTTGCTCCATGGATCGTTTACAAATGCATCCATCGATTATGCAATGCCGTTTCTGGGGAATGATGAATGGTCTCAAAGCCTCTTATTATGTAGTGGAGGCATCATTGTCGCATGAAGAAGTACTCTCGCGAGCCGAACAAATGACAGAGGAGCTACAAGAATACAATAAGGCGATGATGGCTCGTATGGTATCACCCGAACAGCCAGTACCAACTTTTGTCGGCCCTGAGCTAACACCAGGAAATATGGGTTGGGATGACCATCCGATTGAAGATTTGGAGAAAATGGTGCCAGTTGTTGCGCCGATACCAATAGTCGCAGTTAAAGAAGTATTCGCTATACCACCTGAAATCGTCGGTACGGGCACTAATCGCTTTTCGTATTTTGTTGTGAACTCCGTTTCGGATGACTGGATAGAGTTGCCTATGGTAACACCTAAACAAATCAATGCCAGCCGCCAAATTAAAAAGTTTCTTACGGGCGATCTTGAAGCTGACATTGTATCTTATCCTTGCTTTCCGGGCAAAGAGAAGCATTACTTGCGTGCACTCATCGGTCGAATTACCGCCGGTACGTACATTGCGCCAAATGGTTACTATCGCAAAATGACGAAGAAGGAAAAACGCGCATTCGATGGATTCGAAGACGATGAGGAGGAGGAGGAAGAAGATGACGAACCAAATGATTTGGGCGAGGGGGAAGAAGAAGAAATCGGTAAGTTGTAACATCTTGAAGCTCGTTTTTAAGCTAATCATTTCCTTCAATTGCAGATAATGATGTTACGCTATTAAAAAATGAAAAATATGAACCGGAGCAGCTAGAATATCTTACAAATCTTGAGAAATGGTTGCACGTACGTCCGAATTTATTACTTCAGGGACGTGTGGTTTGGTTCGATGAATTGAAGGCGAAAAAAGAACGCGATAAGATATTGGAAGGTTTGCGGAAACAAATGCGTACGGAGGAAATGGTTGAAGAAGAGGAAGATTTAGAGCAGGAAGAGGAAGATGAGGATGTGGATGAGGATGAGGAGGGTGAAGAATTATCCGCACCCGAAGTTGGACCACCAATACTTAATCCAATCTATTTCGATATTAGCGATCAGTACACCATGCCATGGGTAACACGTTTCACCAGCAAGTACACCAATAAAAATGAACGCATACTTGTCATGCAATCGAACATTTGGCCGGGTGCCTACACATTCACCTATGATAAGCTATGCGAATCGATTTATATCGGTTGGGGCCATAAGTATGTGGCACGTAATATGCCATTCGTTCATTTGGCGCCTGTGATGGATGAGTATCCACATGGCGAGGCGGATTTTATAGAGACAACCGATCCCACACCCGAAGCGGAGGAGGCTTATCGTCAAAGTTTGCTCAAGAAACAAAAGAAAGGGGGTGATGGTGAGCATTTGAGTGAATATGATGAAGAGTATTTGGCTGACACAAGCACCGATAACGATGATGATGATGTATGATTTATTGAAATTTTTCATAATGCTCGTACTTATAATATTTTCTCACAATTTTTATGAATTAAAAAAAAAACTTAACAAACATGTGTGTTTTATTTCCTATTCAAAGTTGTAGATAAATTATTCGGACATTATACTGGATGCTTTTTTGATGATGCCACTCGTTTTAGCATTGATAACCTTTTATGCTTATATACAGATGGGGGCTCCTGTCGTGCCGTTTCGAGAATTCCATACCTTGTCCGTTGTGGCGACTGTTCGGATAACCGTTTTGATTTCTCTTCTTCTGCTCTTTTTTCTAAAGCCTTTTGTACACCTTTCTTTGGCTCATCTAGACTTTCTGTTTTGGGGTTTTCTTTGCTCTCATTTGGCATAATTTGTTGGTTTGTTGTTTTCAGTGAAGAATCTTCCAGCTTCTTTGTCAATACAGCCAGAGATAATAAATTGTGGGAGGGCATATTGCGTCTATCTGCAATAAATCGGTATAGGAATACCCCCATTGAATATTTGAGTAATATCGCCGGGCAGTAAAATAAAATACGTATCTGAGAAAAATCTATACACATAATTAAATTGTATTGCAATATAAGGGTCTCTATTAGAGCCAAGTAAAAGCCAAATCAACAATTTTTTATAATTTTTGTCTATTTGCCTGTATGTATGTTTGTATGCGCATCACTGGAAAACTAATTCATGGAATTGAATGTTTTCACCGATGTATTGCTAGAGCAATTAGTGCAACTTAAAATACACAAAAAATAGAGTTTCCACCTGTTGAAAAATTGCAGTAAAAATTAATTGATACGGTAAAGTAAACATTGTAATAGGCTGTCAAATGAATTAGATTTAAGAAGGCTTAAAGACGAAAATATTTTTGCGGAAGGTTGCCACTTGTTTGAAAATTTTAATTCAATTCAATTGATGACATGAATTAAATATTGCAATATGAATCTCACACTGAAGAGTTTTACGAAGTTTACTGCGAAAATAATTTTTTATGAGGATTGCCACATATTAGAAAAATTTAATTAAGTTAAATTAATAAGAAAAGTTAAATATTAACGTGACCCACTTCTGAAGAAAGTGCGCGTGAAGCACGCCGAGTGTTTGCTACTAATTAATACAGATGAATGTATTCTGGAATTCGCTGAACGCAACTAAATGTGATAGTTAATTCAGGTGGGTCCACATAAATTCTAATACCGAGATACGCCCTTTTGAATTATTATTCCCATCTATTTTAGAATCCGGTTCAAACCCTATCTCAGCACATTTTCAATAAATTTTCAAGTGAAATACGGCGTTTTTGAACTGAATTCTGAGATATGGCGTTTTTGAACCGAATTCTGAGCTAGGCTGTTCAATAAAATTCTGAAAAAGGGCGTTCTTGAAATGTTTTTAGCGATAGAACGTTTTCAAACTGGCTGCCAAGTTCAAGTTTTGACTTTTATATTTGACTGAAAAAATAAAAGTAAAATTTTAACTTTTATATTTGACCGAAACAACAAAAAAATATTTTAACTTTTATATTTGACCGAAAAAATAAGTCATATTTTAACATTTATTTTTGACCGAAAAAATAAAAGTCAAGTGTTAACTTTTATTTCTGACCGAAAAAATAAAAGTCAAGTGTTAACTTTTATTTCTGGCCGAAAAAATAAAAGTCATATTTTAACTTTTATTGTTGACTGAAAACATATCGATGAAAAAATAACGATTATTTTTTGACTTTTAAAAAAAAAAAGCATAACCGTTACCGTCCCTAATATATAACGCTTACTACAACGATCGAATATTCGATTTTAAAAAGGAATTCGAATAATCATAGCTTTGCGATTATTCGCATAATCGAAGAGAATCAACTATTCGAATAGTAACATTCGAATGGCAATCGTACAAATGATTGCTATTCGAACGTTCGAACATACGAATAATCGAATTATTCGAATAATATCATGAGCTCTAGCTTTTATTATCAACATGGAAGCTTGTTCTGATATGAAAAATTCTTTGTTTGTAGAAATTGGGTCCTATTAAAATTGAATGACTTTAAATACCTTCCTTATACTTACCCACTTCCATCTTGTAGGCTAACTTTAACCAGACAGTCTCGGACAATAAATCATTAACTGCTAAACCATGTTTCGAAAGTTTTTCCAAAAGTCCGAGTAAGCCGCCTTCGCGCTCACTTTCAACACTATCAGCCTGCAATAAACGACGCTCTGCGAACAAGCCACGTTCTAGAGCCCGTCCGAAGGACACCACATCCGTATTACAGCCAGTAAGTAGAACCACGACTCTAGAAAAAGGAATACATACATAAAAGCATATAGTATATTTATACTAAGCTATTATCAACTA